GGCCGGATCGAGCTACCGTTATGTGATCATTTGCTACTAAGCAGTGCATTCGTGTTTTTATTTGAAACTTCTGTTAGAATATACTTTTCGTTACCAAGAAAATTAAAAAAAAAAAATGCATATTACATTAAAAATACTGAGTATTTTTTGTATCATGTAGAATTTTTTTTTGATCGTAATTTTTCAACATTTCGTAACGCCTATTTTAGAACCAAAATAAGGCCTTTCACTCTTCCCCTACGCCTATTCAAGAGATTGTACGGTGTATTGTTTGTTTTGTGCATGTGTTGTGGACAAAAAATGACCACGCCCATTTAGTGATTGCAATATGTACGTAATAGAAACCGCACCCCGAACTTGAGCTTTTGATCCCAATTTTTAAATTGATACATTGTAATATAAACCGCGGTTTATAATAGGACTTTAACGGTACACTTTGCCTGCAACTGTGTTATCCTTTGTCCGAGCTGTCTTGCCCATGAGAGTAAAAGGTGGATACTGGCCAGTAAGTAATGTAATTATAAAGGTAACTTTTTGCATCCCGTGTGATTTACTTTTCTGCTGTTATATTATCAATTATACAATGTGCCTCTTAGTAACTATGGCAATTTTTTGTTTCATCTTGCAGGTTGCATACCCCGTAACCATTCAAGAGTTTTGTACCATTGTATGTGATAGTATGTTGACGTCACAGAGTTTCTAAAATGTATCTTGGACAGTGATTTTGTTTTGATATTGAAATTTATGTTTTGTATGTTACCTGATGTTTGCCTTTGATAGAAATAAACAATTACTTGAATATTTACATGTGTTTGATATGAACTATTGGACTGTACAGTAGGTACATAGCCACGACTCTAAATCAATGTTTCCCGGGACTGAGAACAGAGTGATTTTCCAAAAAAAAAAAGATACTAGTAATATGTTTTGATACATGACACGAAAAAAAACGGGGATACAAATGTAACTGTTCCTATTAACTGTGCAAAATTCCGTATTCATATAGAGTAGTTTCTCTAGACCAATCTGATTCATCACGACTGGTAAGGGGAGGTGCTTCATTCTTCCAGGAGCGGCCCTTATATTTACGCAAATTTCTTGTCATTTGCTACTAGTAGTTTACGTTGGATCGTATTTGGGGTTTAGAGCAATCGACAATAAAGTGTATCTATGTCAGTTATAAGGGACCTTTCTAGCTCCATGGTTCAATTCAGAGTTGTAATATCCTCTAGCAAGGAAGGACATATAACCGATACCAACACTGTGTATCCAGGGTTCGATACAACAAACTCAATGAATCTTGTGGCCTGATTATAATCGCTTTGTGACAGTTGGAAAGCGTCAGGAAAACGTGCAAGAAATAAAAATGCTGACAAAATGAACGAATCAACTCCACAACAAGCTCGGATGTATATGCGTTATTTCCTCGTTATATTTTATTATATAATTTATGCATGACAGGTTTTCTGTGAACGATTGCATTGTTGAGCTAGGGGTGTAGACAGACAAAGTCTGGACTTTTGTTTTCTCACAAATTATTTATATCAGGAGTTACTGCAAAACCGAGCCTGAACAGGAATTGTGCGAGATGAAAAAACACAAATCTTCAACTTTGCCAGTATAGTAGAGAGCATCGGAGGGATTTGAATTGTATAATAAAATAAAATAAATATGGTATGAACACATTCATTATTTCCTATATTGTTGTAAACTATTTTATTAATATGCAATATTAAAATTATTACAGCAGGCATGTGCAGCTAAACATAAACGTTAATATGTCGTATATATGTGCTGTAGCACCATAATATTAAGTTTCGGCCGTGCATCTTTCTTGGGTGACCTTTTCGTGGTTTCTTACATACAAAGCACATCGAGGGTATTCTTGTTGTCTTCAATGTCGCAATAGATCCAGTTACGAACTGCCCCGATGAATATGACGGCCCTTCTTGTTGTTCGAATCTGTCTATCATTTTCAGGTGTTTTTATTTGTTAAACTTTCTGCGCCGTTTTGCCGAATTGGTAGATTTTGCCTCACAGTCACGTAATCGTTCTTTGTCCATGGAGCGCCACACATGTCGACTAAACTGGAGACTGGAAGGTTGTGCGCTTCGTAAAGTCGACAGTTAAACTTTTCCATGCCGCTGTTAAAGTGTGCCACTGTCATACAAATGCCAACGTTAATACTTGACACTTCATGGTTTGAGTTTTGCGTTAAACACATTTCAGCGCCCTTGAGCAAGATTCACATTCGCCAAGGCGTCAATTTCCGGTTGAAGCACTTCTACGACAGCTTTGGAGAATGGTTGCCCAATTGGCCGATAAGTGTTCTTTCCGGTTACCAGGTCTGATTGGTATTTACACCATGACTCTACACCCGTAGAGCAGTGTTGATGTCTTGGTGATTCATATGTACTACTATAGTGGGCAATATTGCTTTGGTGTTTTTGCTCATCGCCTCTGCATTCCCTGAAAAACAACCCTAAGATTGAATATTATTACATCGTAGGAAACGTATGATGTGATAATAATATACTGTCATTGTGTGTACACTATTTCGGGAATGTAGTCACGTGACTAAATTCACGACGTGCTCTTACTCTTATGTCGTAAAGCCATTCCATAAAATGTTTGGATGAAATTTATAACCAATTTCGTCAAACGCCCACGACCAGTCAGGCCCTTTCCATCTTTCTTAAAACACAAACAAACCACAGAGAATTAAACTCCAAATGTAAGTCAATTCGTCTTATTGGTTATCATAGTTGAAGTATCAGATCTGAATTTAAAAACAGTACTACTCCTATACCATCATCTCATTTTGAATAAAATAATTATTAGTAGTTTATACCTTTATGCCTCTTCACCAGCCTACGAAGTCTCGTCCCCATTCGTTTTTAAACGTGGCCTATACATTCTTCTTTTCTCACCTCGATGTCGTTATACGTGTTTTGACAATGATAAGCGGTGCTGTCCCCGTCACCTACAAATGTTATATACCTAAAAACAAAATGACAGTTTTTTTTCACAATTCAAGACACTGTGGTACGTCGACTAAAACACGTATGGTACATTGTAATTCTTACCTGAAATTATACTTCTAGGCACCACTCAAATAGAGTTTGAGTTCCATGAGGTTCCATCTGTTTTGAAGATCCTTCGTAATTCGCCTGACACTTGGGCTTGTGATTCAGACACCACGTATTCTGGTCCCGATTTAGGACCATTCCATTTCTCACATTTACTGCAATGATTCACCATAACATGTCAATCAATGACCTTTCCTACAAAAAAACATAAACATAACGATGACACATAATAATATTATTATTCGAAAATAATTACGACACAAACACAGTTTAAATAAAGTGTTTCCACAGAGCACTATATCGACCCAAGTCTCATGAAACATACTTGTTTTCATGTGGGGTTTTCATTGTGATTATCAGTCTGGTGTTGGATAAACTGACTATAAATAATTTCCATTTTTTCTCACACACAAACAGGCGGAAAATCAAAGTGATAATAAAGCATTTTGGACGTAAATTACGGTGATAATGCACTTACCAGTGTCTATGGATAGTGCCGTCATGAGTCCTCCTTTTGTCGTTTTCTAAATCCTCTTCCACCTCTAAACCTAGTTTCAGCTGCCGGATTTCTTCAGCGGAATCTTGAAACTCTTCCTTAAGCTACGCCCTTGCATGTTCCAGAAATCGGTGGCGGCAAACCCATGTAACTGCTGAATTTTCTCAGCGCACTACGTCCTTTTCCTATCCCTCTGGCGGCAATGACAGACTGTCGATTAACATTGAAAATGTGGCCGTTTTTTTGGGAGAGTTTCTGACAGACGGCTGCAGCTTGAACAATGAAAGAACAAATTGCTGCTGCAGCCGTGTTGAGCAGTTGTGTCTTCGACAAGACGCATGTGCCCCTCGTTGCATCCGCTGCACACGGAAACGGTACTGCTGGCCTTATTTTTGTGCTGACATCGATGAGCAACAGATTTCCCGTACTCGCTTCCTCGTCGTCTGACGTATCGGTGTCGTCATCAGTAAGGTGATTAAATATTTTTCGAGTGGAGGCAGATAATTCAACCTCATCGTCGAATTCAAACAAACCACTCGGGTGGTTGGTTATAATAAGACGCCGCACCACTGAGTCGCAGAATTTTCTTTGCCTCGTCTGTAATCGGCGTCTTCGCTCTCCTTCTTTGCCTCGGCATTGCGTTAGTAAATTCATTAGTAAAATAGAATATTGAATAAGAAAAGAAAACGAAATTAAAAAAGAGATTTAAAAGAATGTTGCACAAAGTTATGAGCGTGTTTTTCAAACGAAGTCTAGACTGATAATAATGCTGCCAATGGAAGCTAGATAAACACGCATTGTTTGCAACAGGAAGCTTATCACCCGTTATATCAGAATCGTCAACAACAAAGTATGCACAAAAAATGTTATCATGTAATTCGTCCCAAACATACTCATTATGCAAATATCCGCGAAAACGGCAGTCGTAGTTATTTGTGCTAGCATTTAAAACAACAATTTGAGCAGCATCTTACCCGAATTTTGATATTTTAAAAAGCTGGGATAATGTGTCAAGGTCTGAAGTAAACGTTTTGATTTTTTAAAAATCAAGAAAAAAAACGACAATTTCTCTTCTCGCTACCTTAATAGATAGTACATTTGCTCCATCAATGGATTAGATTCATTTTTATACTGACTCTATTTTCTGGAATTCTTTGATTATTTTCAGATAGAGCAATTTGTACATCACATTTTAGAAGCCGAACTTCGACGTGGTGACGAAGAAACTTCTCGCCTGTCTAACGATGAATTCAAATTTGCTAAAGAGTGAGTAGAGATCTTTCACAAGCATCAATATCCTTCAGCACTTATGCTACAGTGGAGAGCAGTATCTGTAAGATTAGAAAACATGTAGTCATTTTTAAAAAAAATGCTTCCAAATTAAGACCCCTGACTCGTTTATCGTGGCATAAAAATGACAAACATCCTGATGTTGTGCAGTGTCCAGGAACAGAATGATGAATATGTTGACATTTGCAGACTCCATTGTGTTGATAGGCAATCAATCTTGTACAAGTCATACTCTTCTGTATCATTTTTTGGCTCAACAGACCATAAGTCCGCTGAGCCTATGGGATGGGTTTCTGTCCTGCGTCTGTCGTCCGCCCGTCTATCTATCTGTCTGTCTGTGCACGACTTCTTCTCAAAAACCGCCGAACCGTTTGACTCGATTTTCGGTGTGTGGATGCCTTGATGGGTGTAGATGGTAATTTGTTCATGAGAAGTCGATCTGCCAAAAATTATGCAAATTAGCCCCCCAAAACTCTAAAATTTCTTCTATGCTACTATGACACTAAGTGATCTACAGTGCTGATATTGATAGTGCATGTGCCTTAGGTTGTCCTCTATCAGTTTTGTTAATTTGGTATAAAGGAAATTTAAAAATTTCCTAATTTTGGCGAATATTTTAAAATGGTCATTTTTGGTCAAAAATCCTATGTTCGACATCTTCTTCAAAACCGGTAGCCGGAATGCTTTGATACTTGGTCTGTATGTACCTTGTGTTGACATCTACTTGATTTGTTCATCCCATGGCCATATCCTTAATTCTCTATTTTTAGCGAATATTTTTTGTCATTTGTGGTCAAAAATGCTATTTTCGACTTCTTTTCTGAAACTCGTAGTCCGATTGCTCTCTATCAGATTTGTTCATTTTGTGTTCATTTTTAGCAAATATTTTGTCATTTTTCATCAAAAATAGTACTTTTGACTTGTTTTTCAAAACCAGTAGTCCAAATTCTTTGATACTTGGTACACATGTAGCTTGGATGACACTTCACCCAGTCACTAAAAGTGGCCAAATTTATCAAAAATTTCAGAAATTCATGATTTTTTTTCATTACCTTCTCCTTAATGCACTAAAGTTGTCGGGGGGAAAATGGACAAAACTTGGGAAGATTATACAATGATGCCATATTCAAAATTATATGCTCACAGGGAAATATGTAATGTTTCCCATTTGTTCTGTCAACTGTTTCTCATTCTCACATTGCACATGGGAGTTTCAAGTTTTCTTTGATTGGTCTATTGTGATTGTAATGAAAACATAACCACTCAACATATTTAAATGTGTATAGACATGATTGATTTTGGTGGGAAATTATGCAAATTGCCTAATTTACATATCCATATTTAGGCTATTTTGGTGATATATTGAGAACCATTTAATATGTTTTAATAAAACTTGGTGCATAGATGTGTTGGGACAGTTTTCGTATATATTTAGTTTTTGGTGGAAATTTATAATTTGCATATCAGCAAGTGAAATTCAAGCTATTTGGGTGCTATTTCAAGAACCATTCAACATATTTCAACAAAACTTGGTATATACATGTATTACGAATTCAGATAATTGCAAATATCATGTTATGTTATTCTCTCAACATGCTGGAGTTCTTTTTAAGCTCTCTTTGATTCTAATTTTATTGAATATTTCTGTTATTTTTGTAAAAAATTCCACTTTTAGCATTATGTTTTATTGTCTCACTCACTGCCTTTTGGGGTATTTGTCATATACAGCACTAATCTTTTGTACAATAGCCGTTTAGCAACAGGCCATTGGCCTATTTTTTAGTCCTTGTTTTGGACATCTGTCCATCCACCCAACATCATTTCTTGGACAAGTCTGGACCAATTTTCTTTAAAGTTGATAGCCATAGTGGGAGACATATGCACTTTGTTTAGTTTTTCGTTCAATTGACGTTTAACAGACGTGTGGCCATTTTAGTCCTTAAAAACAAAAACCGACAAAAACTTAATATTCGAACACGTAAACTTGTTGTCAATTTCATTCAGACTTTAATATTGACGTCACTCATGCTTCATGGTTGAGGGTTTTTTACTGATGCATGTCAATTTGCATGTCATATGCTTGTAGATTTGTTTTTTTGTTTAACGGACCTTTGACTAACTGGTGGCCAATTTTATCTCACAAAACCACTAAAATATTTCTTAGACATGTCTTGGCTGATTTTTTTCAAACTTAATATGATATTCTACTGATGCATGTTAGTTTATTTTGTGATTGGATTAAAAATTATTGACTGAAACATTTCTCGAACATGCTTTGACTGATTTCATTAAAAATAGGTGCTGAGACCAGATAATAATTGTATAGATATGTATGTTGATTCATTTTTTTATTTTTATGTTCTGACTAAACAACATTTGTCATTCAACAGTTTTATTTTGTTTGGCTGATTTTATCCCAAAAAAAAAATTGTTTTTAATCAGTTGATAACGCATTAACATTTTGGATACTCCCAAACATTTAACTATAATGTACATCTTTCATTGTTTGTAATGGACACAGTGACTAAAAACTGAACTATATCATTGACAGTAACTGTTTTTTTACATTCCAGCTTCACTGAAAATTTAGAAACACACCTAAAAAATGTGACATTGCGACATATGCCACGAAATCTTCAAAGTATAGACAAAGACAAAACAGGTATGTGTAGAATATGACACTTTATTTGGGGTTTATAGCTACGAGGACTTCTTTCCCTAACAAAAGAAAGTAGCGCAATTGCACTGAGGTTCGCAGTTATTTCGTTTGAGTATTAAAGTTTTATTGTCAACAAACTTTTGCTTGACGCCTTTGACGTGTTAACCTTTTCACAACCAGTTCCCTCTTTTTATCATAAATTCACGAAATAGTCCTGTTTATACTCTGCACTTTCTTTCAGAAGAATGAAGCAAAAATAGCCACATTTTTTGAGAAAAATATTTGAAAATTTACACAAATTTTTCTGTCGGCTCCAAAAATTAGGGTTCATTTCCAAAAAATATTGAAGAATAAAAGAAAAGTGCCGAAAAATTTGGAAGAGAAAGTCTGGTAGTGAAAAAGTTAAGTACCGATAATATGTGTACTGTAATAAACAGTATTCGCAATAACCGAACATCACTGAACAATTTCATAGATTTGCTTCAAATTTATAGGACGGCTATTTTACTCATATCAGTTCTGTTTGGTTTGTACACAGAGTAGAATTAAAACGGAAAATACATTATGGAATTTATTCTAGTCAAGACAATAAATAACTTAGTTGTTAAATGGCACAGTACTCCAGATTTTAATCGGTATAACTTCCTTCAGAAGATTGTGACAAAAATAGCCAAATTTTTGGACTAAGAACTGAAAAGTGACTCAAATTTTGTCAGTTGGCTTCAAAATGAGGGTTCATTTCCAGAAATATTGAAGAAAATATAAGAAAAAGTGCAGAAAAACAAAAAAGTTAAGAACACTAGAAATAATATGACATGAAAGGATAGTTAACTGTCAGTCTATTCTTTACATATCTTGCATATAATTGTACATATCTTACAAAATCTGTGGTTCGTTTCAATCTAGCTCCAAGGCCAAATATGAACAGTTATATATTTTTTAAAGTCAACGAAAGTCAGCAAGGAGTTCTTGTTGAAGAAGAAACAGATGAACATGAGTAAGATTTTATTATATTTCTTGATTTCAATTTATCCGCAATCTTGAGAAATGTACCAGTGCATCATGGGAAATACCCATGATTTACAATGTATACCAACATTACCAGATGTACTAACATTTACCTACACCATTGTCTGCCTCAAATAGATGTATTGTCACTAAAAGTTTGGATTGACATTTTGTTAAGATGGAGTCATTTTGAAGACAATTGGCTGTTTAAAATCGACAAAATGAGTTTGCTCTTTCCCACATGAAATGTTAAAAGAAATGACAAACCTTTTGATCAAAAAACTAAAAGCAGTATCTGAAACTATATGTATGACCAAAAATGGTTATGAAATTTTACTGAAAATTTTAGAAAATGTCAAAATATTTGCTCTTAATTTGGGGGCAAGAAAAATATCTGGCATCCTAAAACATGCCTACTGATCCACTTTTATGTGCAAATTGTGTCTAAATCTTGCCCAACTAGTAAACTTACATTGAAATAATGTTCTATAAATATTTATGATTGTCGATGTTAAAAAAATTCTATGCATTCTGATGATCAAAAAAAGCATTTCACAAAGAACTTTGATCAGATACATCACTATGGAATGTGATGTGTATACTAAAATCTGGTTGCTGTCTTTCCTTTATACATCAAAAACCATGGTTTAATTCTTGCATTCATTTACATTCTTCTTACAAGACTGTTCTTGGTTTGACTGCCCTCATTAACTAATTTGCTCACTACTTTTGTTTTTATCATGTCATGTGTTGTATTTTAACCTTTTGAACTTCAATTAAGTGCAACATTTTCATGTAATTTTTTTCTAATTTCATTGACAATTCTGGACCAATTGGATATCTTGATCATTTTTAAAAAGAATGATAAAATTGGAGGTGTATCTTGTAATAAAAATTGACTTTGCCATTCAAAGGATTAAATTAGTGAGTGCGCCATCAAGAGACCATAATACACTTAATATCCTTTTTTACCTGTCCATACGTACAACAAATTTGCATATTTACCTATGTCTGCTTAAAATCTCATCAGGTAAACAGGCCTTAATTTTTGATTCTTGCATTCAGAATCTTTTTCTCAAAACACTGTTCAGAAGCTTTGATACCAACTGTTTTGCAGAAGAGAGAAAGAGACACACACCACCACCCCCATGTTATGTTCATTACTGCGATATGTGACCTATGGTGCACTGTACTTCTGTAAAATGACTCAAAATAATTTCTAAATTGTGTTTAAAATGTCATTGTGGTCGGCTCCGCTATCTTATTTCAGTGTTATTTATCTAACATTTTTTTCCACGAGGGTCAATGAATTTGTGTCAGACATATCATGATAGTTTCCACTGACGTCTCATTAATATTGTTTTTCACTCCAGAAACGAAGTAGTGAATCTAGAAAAAGACGCTCAGCATATCATGCGGTATAAACCGGTTTCCACCCTGCTACTTAATGGAGCGGTTTCGTTGATATAATTAAATGCAGGTATACTCATAGGTAGCTTGAATTTGTCATTAGTTTGTTGGAAATAGTGGATTTGTTTTACACAGGAAGGGAAAACAATCCAAGATTTGAAGTTTTCAAGGACGTGAGAATGCTCGTGATGATAATGGAAATCATTTTATTTTTGCTGATGTTAATTTAATTAAGGGCATTCAATAATGACAAAGAGGTCATTATTTTGAAAGTTATGCTAAAATAAAAGTAACACTTGTTGAAATTAAATACTGTAAAATACTTTATTTTCGCTTGGAATTAATTTTAACTGAAGGAATAATTCAGTGAAAATAGAATTCCAGCGAATATACCTTTTTTCCCAAATTACATTCAACTCGTCAAAATTCAGTGAAAATAAATTTCATCTAAAATAAAGTATTCTACAGTACCATCTTTAATTTTCTCCATTTCCTCAATTTTAAGTACATGTTTTTCCCACCATTTTAGCTACTTAAGATTTATTAGTAATGTCAAAATCAACGTCTGTTACATTTCTCATATTTTCCCTCATTTTTTTTCAAAAATTTTGATTAATAACTGTGGCCAATGAAAAAGTATGTCTATTTGTTCCAAAATTATTGAATAATTTATAGAAAAATACATAAAAATTTTCAAAATGTGGCATAAAAATTTTGGCAGGAAAAATTACGGCATTCAAAGAGTTGAGGCATGCATGCTGGTGTGTTATATTTGCATAATGCCATCATTCTTATGAAGATATCTCACAGTCCTGTCATCGAGTACCAAAAATGGATATGGTATCGTTACTTAAAGAAAAAAGTGCTCTGTCATATTTGCATAATTAGAAATTCTTATAAACCAACAGTTGCATTTATTGTATCCTTGATTATTAACATACAACTTATTTTGTCCATAGATATACCTCTGTCATTTACATAAGTGCATGCGCTTTTAATAGAGCCAATACGGTATCCGATGTCAGTGCATACAAGTTGCATAAAAAAATGTCAGGAAAGTATTTACAAATTTAATGTTGAGACTGTCTCTGGTACCACAAATATTTAAAAAAAAAATAACATATCCATATAATACTTAAAGATACCAGATGCTTAAACTATATTCAACAGGAATGTTAAGTTCCCTTAAGCTTGATAAAGTTAATCCTGTTTTCAGTGGAGTATGGCGTATTCATTTCACTATGTATAGCTGACCTATAGATGCCCTTTTCTATCTTTTGAAACCTAAGCCACTGGGGTCAACAAAACATGCTAGGTCGTTGTACTGGTTTTGTCCGTCCTGGTTATGCTATCTGTTTTGATGAAAGTTGAATCTTGCATATCACATGATGATCTCCAGCCAATTATAGATCTATCTGATGTTTTCGCCTTTGTTCGAAACAAAATCATCTGAATACTGATGGAATATTTATCGAAAACATCTCAAAATGCCTCTAGATTTGTGCAAGTTTTATCAATGTAATAATAGAAAACACATTAATCATCTGTACTTTTAATGTATGCATATTTACTCAAAGTATTTGTGTAGTAGCACATGTGTTTATGTGTGGAGTACAGAGGCGGTCAAAATAAGTTGTACTATATTAATGTAGTATTCAATAAACGCAATATTTCGTTTATAGGATAAAATAGGCTATCCTATCAGAGCAAATGCAGTATTTTATTTCAGGAGTAGTGCATGGAAAGACCATAATTTGGTAGTTGGACTGTCGATAAATGTTGGGTGTTACGCTGAAACACTATCGCTGCGGTTAATGACTTGTACTATAACAATTCAAAAATGTGAAATAAATGCATAAACTACTTCACTCCATTAATGTCAATTAAATAGTTTCATAAACACAAATGGCTCTTTATTCAGTTGTTTGTTTACATATCACATGGCTGCGAATGTTTTCTTTAAACATCATTATTAGTCTCAAACTCTGAAGTAGGGTTTTGTTTTTTGGGTTTTGTTTGTTTGTTTGTTTGTTTGTTCGTCCGTCCGTACATCCATCAGGGACTTTTTTCGTCCACATGTATGTACGTGCTACCACATGTATCTTGGACATTTCTGGACCTATTACTTTCAGACTTCATACATACATTATGCATCTTGCACTTTCATTGGTTCCCTGCCAAATGGCGACCACTTTTGTGCTGAATAACTCAACAAAGTCGAATATTTCTGTAATATCAACTGGATCTCTGTCATGAATGAACAGATTTCATCAAACTTAACTTGTTGTTGGCGTTAGGAAAGTTTGTTCGCATGGGAGAAAATAATTTGTTATTTGTGGTCTTGGCAAGGTTTGAGGTCGTAACATATCTCAGTCTTTGAGAATAGCTTTTTAATGTATTCAATACATGTGAACCCAAATTATGAATTTCAGCAAAGGTTAAAATGGCCAAAATACATCAACACAAGACTCATAACAGAATTTCAATCAAGTACATAGCTTTCATGTCGCACATATTAATTCATTTGGCAATCCGATTCAAGATGGCCAATTTACGGTCGTTTTAATGTTAAAAATGTATCAAAATCAAGCATTTCTGCCATTCAGGATATTAATCTCGCACAGATTTTTTTTCAAACATGGAATGTACTTGCTTTCCTTTTATAGTAGTAGTTATGACAACTAATATTTATTATTATTACATCACCATAAATAATATTGAACATTGGTACACATTATTTTGTTTTTTAGTTTGGATTCAAAATTGTCACTCTACCATTCCAAAACTGGCTTAATTCCACTTTAACATGGGGGGGGGGGGTGATTTTATCATTTCACAATGGCTCAGTCGTGGCAATTTTATTTAAGAACGAGTTTGTAGAATCTTTTGCAATGATGCGAAATTACCTGAACTGGTCTGTTTTAGTGCGACCTCTTTTTAGTTATCGTAATAGCAATGAATACGCCTCAGAATAGACCAGACTAAGTGAAAACATTTGGTAATACCCCCGGTACTCATCTTTGCAGATAATGGGAAAGATCAAATCTGAGAGTATATATACCTACAATGTATGTTCAGATGCTACATTTGTATAAATTAAGATTAAAGCTAATCCTGTGTAGGTTTGCTTATCGGCTAGACCCTGTTATGTCACTGCACAAGAGAACCTAAATTTGAGTATTAAACCAGAGATGTACATTTTAGCTTTTTGGTTACACCATGCAATGACGATGCAAACCCAGAAAGCGCATGTTGCAGAATAACAGGAAGTAGTACAGTGTCTCTTCATTTTTCTCATTGAAAATGAAGTCTCCTGGTTCGCTTTTGCTGATTGTCATGTTGGAATTATCATACTGAATTGAATAGTTAAGGTCTCCAGTGGATACCGGTAGTGTATGCGATAGAATGGTGGGTGGGGAGAATTTATATATAGAGTGAGTCGTTGGTTTATGCTCTCCACGCTTGGTTCACAAAAATTACTGGGCGATAAGACGCAGAGAACAGTATTCCGAACCAAAGAAGACGGCCAGTGGGGTAACGTAACATACTTGGCAACTCTTTATTGCAAGCAGAAAACATCGCTCCTTGTGTACCAGCAAAA